TTTAAAAACTGTGAAGATAACAACCTCAAATACATTCTAAGTTAATTCTCTAATACTAATAACTTAAACTCACTCCTCTAAAATTTGCACTTATATGATAAGGAATCATTAAGAAAACTACAAAGTGTCAAATTTCATTTTGCATTTGTTTAGATATCAGTTATATTTGTAGCAAAGCATTTGTCTTCATTGAGCTGTCTTTTTCTAACCATTACAAAAGGTGAACAGTTTCAAGTGTCAGGGAACCTTGCGAATAGACTAACTTCACAATATTCCACTACTGTAACTTGGTGCTAGAATCCTGTTTTGTGCCATTTATCAAATTTTATTAAACTTTTAAGAGCATTACAGCATTTTATCTCTTTTCGCTTTGATTAAAAGCCTCATCTTCTCATCTTACCTAAAAAGATCCTTAAAAAGAATAGCAATTACAAGCAGTAGCTGAAAGAATTAAAACTTTGACAGACAGGACACTTTTACTATCAAGAACAGTTTCACTTTCCAGATAACCATAACTACAGAAATAGGATAAAGATGTCTGTGAAACCCGTACTAGTATTTATTTTGGAAGCCACAACCCTGTGGGACATAAAATCAGATAGGGAGAGAAGATAAGACATACTTTTCATCTTCCAGGAATTTTTAAAAAATGTAAGAGGAACAAATATTCTAAAAGTTGTCACATAAGCAAATTTTATGCAGTAACATTTGTGATACTATCAAAAATAGGCTGAATGTTGTGGCTGGAAAACATCTGAGCTACTAGGGTGAAGTATAGGAAGGAGCCAGGAGAGAGCCACATGTGCCAGACGCTTAGCTGTGCTATATAATCTCAGTCTTGCTTTGCAACTACTTCACATAATCAAGGATCCTAACTTCTCTGTGCGTTTGTGAGAATCCTTAAATATAATGGTCTATCTTAAAATAAAGACAAACTTGTTTTCAAAACAACTTTCCCCCTACATGTCTAACATTTTTGTCTAAGAACCTTGCACTTGTGCCTCTGCATTTCAAATAACTGTTGAGCATTTTTTTTGCTATTTTTAATCTGCTGGACATTCAGGACATTCCTGGTATTTATAGTTTACTAATTTATTTCCTTGTGTAAGCTCACCAAAGTTATGGCATGCAGCATGTATTTTGAATCCTGATACCATCCATCTAGAAATTGCTGAACAGGTGCCACCAAATTAGTAACTTCATCTCTGAATGAGGTTAAATACAGTTTTCAATAAGCTCCTAAGAACAAGGTTCTGTTTTTAAAAGACAGTTTAACCTGAAGGTTACTAATGAAATAGAAGCATGAGTTTGAAACTGAGAGCAAATATGAATCAAAATATCTCAGTGATAGAACTAATTGCTAAAAGGACAAGTTCATATTTTTTCTTAAATATGTGACCTTTGGGCCGTGTTATTTAAGAGTGGTGTTACAAGCATTCATATACATATATCATGAGTTTTGTCTATTATAAGGAACTATTTGTAATATATAACATATATTATAAATATATGTAATTCTCCACTGGAGAATCACACTGAATATAGGACATTACTATTATCTGTAATTCTGAAGTTGTCTTCATGTTGATTTGAATTCTTTCAATTTCTGCTTAATCTACTTCAGTTATCCACATCTTCACCCAAACATATCCCCATGACACAAACAAAGGAGAATGTATTCTTTACTTTCTTTCCCAGTAGTAAATTTTCCACATAGACGGCAAGCATTCCTCCTCCACCACTTCCTTTAGGACTTCACAATGTCACTTATCTCCCCTTTTCCTTGGATTCCCTGCTCACCTTTACTGCCTCTTCCTTCTCTGCTTACTTCCTTCATTGCCCTAAGCACTTCTCTGCAGTAGAACACTTCTTGAAAAATGATTCACAAATCACTCAATAGATATCTGCATTTGTCATTTACTTGTTAACACACTATCTCTCTATAGAAGGCCTTCACATACTGGTCACTAGTGCCTGTCTAATGACCAAAACTAACTTCCCCATTCCAGCATACCAACTAGCTGCTACATTCAGCTCACCTTACTTCACCCTCTCTCTCTGGGGCCATACAAGCATCATAGCTTCAACTACCATATTTATTCCAAGGACTAACAACACATGTCTGTGATCTACTCTCTTACTGATGGTCTCTCTCTCACCTTTCTTTCTTTCCTTACTCCTATACCTGACTACCACACAAAGAGCCTTAGCTTCTTTCACTGTTGATTTTATACAGACCTCCCTCAGAACTTCCCCCTTATCTTGGCTTCAGCTACTACCTGTCATGGCACAGCCCAGCTTTAAAAGTCTTCCAACATTGGATTTGGAATACCATACACACTCCTTACTTGGACCATACATTATTAGGTTCTGTGTTTCCCTTCAAACATCTCTCATTATGTTTAAACCACAGGGGTCTTCTGTCTTCTTCTGGAACACAAGTTCACTACCTTCTCAGTCCTTTGGTTCTTGCCTGTGCAATTCTGTTACATTGATGTATGTAAATTTCCCCTCTGATCTCCATATGTAGGTCTTTTAAGTGTCCCTATAACTGGTACCTTAGGTGCTTGGTAAACATTCAGTAGATATGAATTACATTCATACCTCAAAAGAAAACTTCTAGTATTAAATGCTTAAAATGATTTAATAAAGACCATTGAGGCTTAAATTTAAATAAAGACAATCTGTAACTAGAAAATTTAGCAAATCTAGCTTTACCTTACTTTTTGTTAGTAAACCCAAAAGAGCCAAAGACCACAAAATATTAGATACACAATAAGATGTGGTGAAAGTAGTTTTCTGAGCAAAGATAGCATTCATTGTTACTAATGCAGAACCTTCTGATGTTATGCAGTAATAGGCAACTTCCTGTTTGGAGTAGATACATGAAATCCATAAGTCTAGTCATGCTCTTATAAGTCTCTTTCTTCTACTTTCTTGTCTCATTTATATCCTGGAACTTGTATTCACTATCAACATAGTGCCAGTAAATATTCTAAAGAAAAGAGACAAAAATAATTACATCAAAAATTACATTAGTTTTTTCCTCAGCCAACATATTTGGGTCATATCAATCTCAGATTTGAACCACAGAAGGAAAAAATGAAGATCCAAGTCATTCTTATTCAAAATTTAATGTGATTCTGATGAATATTTTGTGGTTCAAAAAACCACCTCATGACAGCATTTGCATTTCTCAGGTTTTGGTGTTTTTTTTTTTTTATCAGTGGTAGGAATATCAAGAAATCACATATACTAGTAGTAACATGTTAGGACTAAAGAGAAATGAGAAGTCTTAAGTAATTAACAGAGTCTAATACAAATGAGGGTTCTTTCACAAATTTGTAGCATGTCTAGGTATTGATATTTCAATTAAATATCAAAGGACCACATCTCTACAACCTTGGGCTTTGGAGATTTTTTTCTTCTGTTATTAAGTGTAAGTTCACCTGGTTATTATATTCTCTGTAATAAAAATCAAATCAGAATGGCAGCAGGGTAAGTGATAATCTCTAGACTTAAAATATTTTATAGTATCCAACATCTTTTATGGAATGAAAGAAAAACCAACCGTATTAGGATTAAGAAACAGGGACAACAGAGCTCTAAAATATTTTAACAGGTGTTAATCCATGCATGTGTTCTTTATAAAGTTTATAACAATACTATTCTGTATTTTCATATCATTTTAATTAACAAAGAATGTCAGATATATATAGCATTATCACATCCTAACTAGATTTATTTGCAAATGAGAAAGCCAAGGCTCAGAGAGGTTGCATGTTTTTCCAGCACCACACAGCTATTAAGATAACATGGTCTGCGGATATTCTATTTCAACTTGTCCTCAGTAAAACTTTATAAAACAACTGTAATTAATTTCCACTGAGTCCTGTTTGTGCTCAGAATAATTAGATCAGGAAATACTCTTAAAACTGAAATGCTTCATAGAGAACCTTTATTTTGTAACATCATTTGACAATAGCTACGGAGAATTCCTGATGTTTTAGTAGGTCTTTTGAATAAATATTTGAAAAAACAAACACATAATTAATCACTCTTTAAAAATAATTTCCTTTTATTATTTTTTAGTTCAATTTGTTGACATTAAACAGGTCAACAGGTTTTAAAAATTCTAAAGTTTTTCATTTTTGCATGTCTATGACAATTAAGAATTCTGTAAGCTCATTCCAAATGTCTATTCCAGGCTAAAAAGAGTTTAGGGCAAGTACCATCTTGTGGATTTGGGCTATCATTCAGATTGTATCTGGCTAATACACTTTAGTTAAGGCATTTTGTGTTTCAGAAGATTCTATAAAATTAAGTTTTGGCTATTTAGTTAAGAAAACGGTATTCATCTCAGCAGTTTATCAATCTATCACTTAATAAACTTTAAGTTTTACCAGTTGGTAAAGGTGAGAGACGGCTGGGGAGAGACAGACCTTCCAGCTGGAGGGCTTTCTGGAAGAGGCTATGAATCATATCTCACCATCAGTCACTGCCCAGCAAACACACAGCATGCCTTTAGAACTATTTCTAAGTTTTAAAGAGCCCATGTGCTCACACTGAGCTTCCTTATGAACAAAGAAAACATTATTCATATATTTTTAAAATCCATATGGTAAATTTTGTTCTTTAAAACAGTTGTTCAGATAAAAAGACACCACTTAGAACTGGAAATAAGATTTATTGCCGGAAAGGCCAGTGTCTAGAATTAAATTATCCAGAGCATCAAACCAACAACAAAAAGAAATGCCAAGGATCTTTAAAAAAAATAAAATCCCTGGATATATGTTATACAGAAGATAAACTTCCCCAACTTTGTTGATGCTATTAGATGCATAAAATGTACCAATAGAAATACTCATGATATAATGTGATCAAATGGTGTCTTAAACAAGCAGGGAGGCATGCAGAAAAATGTCTAAATCATTTTCAAATGCAGTTAATTCTGGAAATGATGCTAAGCATTATATATTGAGAATAAATATGATTCTTACCATCTGAGACTGACTTCTAGGACATCCATTGATATCTTCAACTTTTTCATTTGCTAAAGCCAAGAAATAAAATAAAAGAGGGAAAAAAAGAATGACATGCTTAAGCAATGAAGTGAAACACATAAAAAAGGAGACTTTAAAAGAAAAAAAAACACCAAGCAAAAATGCTGCTGTTACATTTACTACATTTCCCAAGCCATGTACAAGAGAACACACTTGTTAGCAGCCACCAAGTCCATGAGCACGAATCAAGCAAAAAATGAAAAAAAGGAAAAAAAAAGTGAGTGAGAAGGAAGTTGCTGCTAATTCTTTAGCTTGTGCCAAATGACTGCTGACATGAAACCTTTCACAATTGTCCCTGCTGGATCAGGATACAGTTTCAAGGAATCTCAGAGTGTATGAGTTGCTCCAGCTAACGAAATGCACACATGGGAGACATATGGTTTAATGAAGCATTCATTTCTGACAGTTTAGTGTATGTAAAGATACAGTTCTAGCTATTTAAAAGTATGACCAAACTGTCTTCTTCAAACATCCTCACCTAAACATGTTTAGTTAAATCAGGAGAGAGCCACATTAGTCTCCAAAGCACGTGGAATGATTCAGTAAGCATTCAACTGAAACTGTCATTCACCCAAGGGGCTGGGAGCAGAGATTGTCCTTCTTGCTCTCAGAGGGCAGGTCTTACCAACGATCTGAATGATGTCTGCTAGCAGCACTCCATCTGCAATGTCCTGTTGCAAATCCTTGATCAGCCGCTTGTGGCCTGATTTTGCTAGGTAGTGGTTGGCCCAGTCAGTGTAAATCTGTTGAGCAGAAGGAAGGAAGAAGTGAGATGGGCGAGGGAAAAGAGAGACAATAAAAAGGCTCAAGACAAATGTTGGATTCAAAGGGAAGCTATTCTGGATCACATTCCAGTTTAAGAAGTCATGGCTCAAAAGGAAATAGTTGTAAAATAATTTTTAAACAGCTCTTTCCCCACTTATCTCTTGTTTCAAAGGAGGATGATTCACTCTTTCAAAATCATGGACTAGTCACTTGTGACAGAGCAAAATTCCCTTCCCGGATGACTACTGAGGAAACTGCTACTGCAAATCAGTTTGGGTTTCTCTCTCAATCCTCTTCTTCTGTCAGTTTAAAAATAATTGTCTGTGTAAAAGGAAGCCACCTGGACTGATTTATACAAGAACTTTGTAAAAATGTGTATTTCTCTGAAAAGACTTTATTGAATTTGTCATATGAGATACTATATGTGACAATATTTTGGCATCATTTTATGAAATAATTGTAAATGCCTTCCTGTCTAAGATACTTTATTTGGACTGTCATCTCTCATTTAAGCCTTTTGAAATGTGTTTATGTTAGAGAACTTAGGCAGCAAATGGAGCTATAACACAGAAAGTACAATATAGAATTGAGAAGTGGATTGTAAACCGCAAGGTTGGCAGTTTGACATAGAATAGAGGTGACTCTTTGAGAATAGTTCATGATATAGAAAAAGCTAAAGCTGGCTGTTCAAAAATTCCACAAAAAAAATGTTGCTAATTTTTATATATAAATATGATATCATGTAATATAATCATAAGGAAAAGGCATAAACATGAAGATGCTTCAATTTCATGGATGGTGTGCATGAATGACTATATTAGAAACTGTGTAAAGGCAGATTATGATGTGATACAACAGAAACAAAGTGTTATTGGAAGCACTGGAATGAGAACTGAAAACCTAACAGAATTCGACTCTGGGAAGTGCAGGAAGGGGCCTGCCCCACAGACAGCATGGCATGTGCAAAAGCAGAGACTCTAGAAACGCAGCACAGGATTGTAAATCTGTAGTTAAGGTAGGGTACCTACAATCAGGACATTGAAACTAGGCCAGAGAAGGAAGTTATATCTCATACTCATGAACACTGAGTGCCAAGAAAACTGCAAAAGCACTTTGTAAATTTTTGATAAAATACAGATTTTTTGGAAATTTGGAAGAAAAATAAAAAGTGTAAGTCTATCCCAAACTTGCAATGCTTTTCTACTTTTTAATAATTTGGTATAAAGGATTCTAGAATTGATATGCCTACACCACACTTCACCACATTATACCCCTCCCTCCTCTCTCTCTCTCTCTCTCTCTCTCTCTCAACACACACACACACACACACACACACACACACACACACACACACGGTGGCATTTTAAAGCAAATCTGGTTCAAATTTTGCATATCATTCTGCAGTTTCAACTATTTTGTGCAACAGTATTTTAAGAGTACAACTAAAAAGTCACTTTATATATATTTCTCTCACAACCTTAATATTTCCCTGTACCCAAGATCCTTCCATTGAAGGAAATTTCATTTGTTTGAGTATGTTGTATGAATTTTGTTTTATGAAGGCATGAAATTATGGAAAAATATTTTTAAGTAGCAAACAAAATGCATTAACAATGACTATATTAATAATGAAAACAAGAAAACTTTCTTTCTCCAAATGCTTGTTAATAGTGCTGTAGCCTTTACCCAAACCTCCTCTGGAACTCAGGTGGGAAACACATGAGAAGCCCATGAGTTCGTTTCAAGACCTCATTGGAAAAACCTCTATTTAACTCACAAACCATCTTTTTTTTGGTCCAGGTTTTCTTCCAGAGGCAGCCCAAACTTATGGGCTCTGTCTTGTCCAGAACCCCTAATATTTGGAACTTTGCTCAGACCATAACTCTCACTTCAGTTGCTGACTGAAAAAAAAATCAATGACTAAATATATGAAGTAAATGAAAATTTCTATTTGAAAAAAATAAGTCTTATATAGTTTTAAAAATCTATTTTCTAATAAGTATGTGTCTTTTATAAGTAAAAGAAACTGAGCCTGGTTAACTTCGCTTAAGATGATGTTCTCCAGTTCCATCCATTTACTTGTGAATGCTAAGATTTCATTCTTCTTCATGGCTGATTAAAATTCCATTGTATAAATATCACATTTTCTTAAACCACTCATCAGTAGTGGGGCATCTTAGCTGTTTCCATAACTTGGCTATTGTGAATAGCATTGCAATAAACATGGGTGTGCAGGTGCCTCTGGGTAACCTGAGTCACATTCTTTTGGGTATATCTCTAGGAGTGGGATTGCTGGATCATATGGCAATATGATTTAGTTTTTTAAGAAGCCTCCATACTGTTTTCCAGAGGTATTGTACTAGCTTGCATTCCCACCAGCAGTATGAAGGTTCCTTTTTCCCCACATCCTCGCCAACATTTGTTGGTGGTGATGTTTTTAATGATAGCTATTCTAACATGGGTGAGGTGGAATCTTAGTGTGGTTTTATTTGCATTTCCTTTGTGTCCAGAGATGGTGAGCATTTTTTCATGTGTTTTTTGGCAATTTGAATTTCTTCTTTTGAAAAAGTTCTGTTTAGTTAACTTGCCCATTTATTTATTGCTTCATTGACTTTGGGGGAAGTTTAGTTTTTTGAGCTCCCTATATATTCTTGTTATCAGTCCTTTGTCTGATGTATAGCTGGCAAATATTTTCTCCCACTCTGTGGGTGGTCTCTTTAGTTTAGAGACCATTTCTTTGGTAGGAAACCCAAAATTCAAAAGCATTTGATGTGCTCACTGCAGAGGAGCTAATACAGTAACCTTAAAACGACAGAGATCAATATGGGAAGATGACCACGAAGTAGTGAAGAGGTCTGGTAGTGATGAATCAATTCGGGTTGTAATACACTTGTACATGGAAGCAATGCTAGGCATCTCTCTGTATAGCTATCCTTATATTAACTGGCAAAAACACTATGTCTTTCTTATTATTGCTTATGTCTACTTGTCAACGAAACTGGAGAAAAGGGCAGAACAGGTTCTGCCTGGAAGTGAGAGAGGGGGGGTGGGGACAGGGGGAGAAATGGCCCAAACAATGTATGCACATATGAATAAATGAATAAGGAAAAGAAACTTGAGCTCCTTCAAGGAAATCACAAAAAGGAGGACTCAGTATCTTCCAAAGGGATGTCATAACCAAATTGAAATGAGACAATTACAAAGCAACATATGAGTGTATTTTAAAATATTACATAAATTTATATTTCTCAGTGGGTTTTTTTGGGAGTATTGGGTTTAAATTCTGGATCTTGTGTTTCCTAGACAAGCACTCTACTCCTTAAGCTATGCCTCCAGCCCTTTTTATTTTAGGTATTTTTCAGACAGTTTTTTCAGATAGTTTTTGCCCAGGCCAGTCTTGGACCATTATTCTCCCACCAAGGCCTTCAGCAATAGATTGGATTACAGATATGCACCAAGCATGCCCAGCTTGTCTCTTGAGATAAGATCTTCCTAATTTTTCACCTGTGCTGGCCTTGAATCATGACCCTTTTGATTTCTGCCTTCCAAGTTGCAGAGATTACAGGTGTAAGCAATTATGCCTGACCTTGTTTCTTTATGTTCTTACATTGTACGTATGTAAGCTGAAAAAAGTGGGAAATAAAATATCATTAAGGAGACAGTATACATGGAAAGGACACATGGTATACAAACACCATTAAAACATCAGTAAAACTTGTGTAATGCTCTGATCAAAAAGGATACAAACAACCTTGTCAACTTTCATTAGAATCTGTTGTTCAGATAAATACAAACAAATGGTGAATTACTGAGCTGGCTTTAACATTGCACTCTCTCATACCACATTTCTTTTCATTACCACAACAGCATTATAACCTGAAAGAATTGCTGATTTTGGGTTTGAACTACAAAGTTGCCTTCGGTTTGTTAACACACAAAAATAATCATAGTATTTTACTTCTTAGGTTTATAAAACTTGTATATTTGATTGAATTATGCTGTGAATTATAGGATTTTTAGTGAAGAAATTGGCAAAATTAGGAATAATATTAAATAAATCATGATTCAACATTTGGTAATTTCTGTAAGCAGGTCATTGAAGATTTCAATCATCAAGTTTCTGGTCAAAGCTTCAAATATAATTTACCTCTAAACATCCAACGCCAATTTTCATCAAATACTTTAACTATAATATTATGAACATTCCAGATAATAATTATATTTCCAAAAAGTATGTATTTCAAAATTATTATAGTTCAGAAAATTCAAGAAATCAGGAAGATTAAATTTACTAAGGGGCTACTTAGAAATTCTAGTATACTTGTATGTATAATAATTCATTTACAGTAATTAAAATAATGAAAATCAAAGGTACCATGTCATACTTTGTACTTATCAGTATTAATTATAGGGCCCATTGTAAAGTTACATGTATTAGTGTGAGTATTTTCTGTCACTGTTTCTTCTTGGCCACTTCTATCCACGTGGATAATGACTGAACGCTTATTGACTCTCGGTGGCAGAGTGCACTCATTCATAAAGTGGAAATAATATTGTTATGAAGGGGATTGTTACAAAGATTGAATGAATGTACCCCTTTCAACATGCCCTTTCACTTAATATATATTTAATGTTAAATATGACTTGTACTAATTCACTGTTTTAATATGAAATATATTTACATGAATCGTAATTAGAAGTTCTTAACTTTCTAATAAACCATTATCATAGTCAATTCACTTAAATCTCAGCTATCCATCCAAATGTAATTAATGGAAATAATTAATTGCTGCAAGTTGTAATGACTTGTTAGCTTAGTCATGTTCTGCTTTTATATTTATTTTACAGCGCTTACATTTTGCTATGCGGGAAAAATAAAAGGTAACACATACAACTCACATTGTTTTTGCGAGCAACCTGTCACAGCAAAACAGAGAAAAAGGTCCATGCTGTTTTGTTTTTATTACTAACAATGTAA